TAGGTGCGTTCCAATAAGTTTTCCTACCAATATGACCATGTTGCGAAAACAAGGTCAAACAACCTCTATAGAACATAACTAAGCTTTATGGATGGAAGAGCCATTTGACCATGCTTAAGACTAAAAAGTTGACGAACCGAATGGGACACAAGCACGCTGGAGTGACTTTAAGTACAACGGTTGAACTTGTGGCCAGAAAGTTTGCAAGACAAACTACTCGTCAATTCGCTTGTAGCCCAGAAATTACCATTCGAGAAGACGATTCCCCTCAGACAAGCTGTCATTAATACATTTCTCATCCTCCATTTAACCCTTCCTATTAACTTGCTCATCTTATCTTCGCATCCTCGTCCCCCCCCCTCCTGCTCCTTATTCTCCTCCTTATTGTGGTTATTCATCGTCCTCATCCTTTCATTCTTTCTATTCTCCTCCTTTTTCCTTTCCTTCATCGTCACCGTCTTCTCCTCCAATTTCTTAATCCAAATATTCTTCTTATCCTTTTCCACATTCTCCTCCTCCTACTTCTTCCTCTTCATCTTATTTTCATTATACTCCTTATTTTTCTTCATCGTAGTCGTAATCTTCTATTTCTTCTTCTCCTTTGCACGTTTATTTACCTTCATTTCCTCCCATTCTTTCCAATCTCTTCATTTTGCCATTTATTCTTCGTCGTCATCTACTTCTTCTTCCTAATATTCTTCCTATCCTTTCCTCGTTCTTCTATTTCTCCTTATTCTTCATATTCTTCTTCTTCTTCTTCTTCTTCTTCAAATCCTCCTCCTGCTCCTACTTCTTCTTCATACTATTCTTCTTCTTCCTTTTCTCCTTTTCCTTCCATTTCTTCTTCCTCATACTCTTCTTCTTATTCTCTTCCTCTCTCTCCTTCATAATCTTCTACTTCTCTTTACTTTTTATTTCTTTCTTTTCTCTTTTTTTTCTGTTCCTCTTTTGCTGCGTATTCTTCTTCTCCTTCTCCATAAGCTTCTTCTTCCTCATCTACCTTTTCTCGCTTTTTTTTCACTTTTAACCTTTCTTCTTTTCCTCCTTTTAAGCTCTGGTCCAAGTTGTTCAAGAGAAATTTGCCTTCATCATCACGTATTGCCTCTTGAGATTGGTAATGAGATGAAAACTCCTTTCATGAAGCTCGGCGACAAATATGCCCGGCAAGGCTTTTACTGCGACCCAGACAGATGAAACGAGTCGTCTAATTCCAGCCTCTCCTCGCATTCTTTCAGCGACGCATGGCTTGCATTTCTGCCCCATACCAGCCCATGTGTGTGTGAATGTCTGCATCGGAGGACACACGAGCCAATTAAGCCCCGTAGGCCTCCTTTCCACGAACCCATCATGGCTGCCCAGATCCAAACTGCCCCTTTCTCATCCGCTTTACAAGAGGCCTATTTCGTAGCTGTAACGACTCCCAGCTCGGAAGTGCATGAGCCTACCGAAGGCCCCCCAGCAGGTCTGGGGGGCAGGTACACCCCAGCCGCCAGAGCACACCCAGGCGAATTAATGGTCAAACGGCGAAGTGGGGCTCTTGTGGAAAAGCACAGAGTGCAATGGTGAAATGTATGTATGCCACTGAGGCCGCTTAGTCCGTAAAGGATCAATTTGATATACAGATTTTATCAATCCTGGACGATGGGACCAAACATGGGGGAGAAGAGGTAAGGGGGGATGAGGCGAGGAGAGGGTTAGATACTACACTATAAATATATGAAGAATAGATCTCAGAAAAGGCATGACTAGGACTCTAATGAGGGTAGGGATGACAGAGAGAAACGCATGTGCATAGATAGACTCTTCAAGGGGTACATATAAATGGATAGTGAACGTGGATGCCTGTGTGAATGGTTTAATCACATATTTGATCTTCGTGTATGAGCCTCAGAACTAGGCCCCCCCGAGCCACGTTATTCTGTCTGTTTATTGCCTTGGCTGGTAAGTCTGCAAGCAGGAGAGGGCGCAAAGCCTCCACTAGCGTATGGCTCGCTTCACTACGTTCAAGTGGAGCAAGGCTATTCGCACCAGAGGGTAGTGATTTATTGCACTTGAGCCTCCTCCGAAGGTCCCGGCTGATACAGAACTGGGGACCGGGAGGCTCGAGTCGGCCAACTGTACCTCATTCTCTCTGTCAAGATAGGCCATGCCGTGCTGGAGGGATCAGGCCTGAGATCTTCAGGCCTCGTGGGTCAAGTTGGGCGCGTCTCTCTTTGCCCTCGTCAATTAGGATTTGGCGTGCCCATGCTCCCACGTGGGAGACTGGACAGCATATTTACGCGAACAGGTCGGGCCCGTGTGCCCGTCAATTTGGTATGCGCTGGGGCACATTAAGAAAGAATGCAGTTCTCAAAGGGAGGAAGAGATCGTGAGACGAGGGGGACGAGATGGGCCCAACATGGTAGGATTATCTTCTGAGAGAGGCAGCCCCGGCACGGTGTAGGATGAACTTTTTTGAGGAGACAAGATGTGCATGTCTGACCAGTTGGGCCC